TTGTGTTTAATATCAATCAGGCTTGACAAGTGTACTCAACATACCTCCCGACACAGGAGCGTCCACATACACTGAGTTATGTCCCTTGGCTGTGAGCGCCATGGCCTGGGAAGTGGCTGGGTCTATGGTACTGCTATCAATCAGCAGGCTCCCATCCTGCACCTGACTAAAAGTATCACAAAAACCTCAGGGTCATACAGGAAACTACACCAAAAACTTCCACAAATTCTCCACATCAAACAGTGTTTCTCAATCACTTTGACTAGTTTGAACGAGATGACTGTCCCTGTAACTTGCCCACATACATAAAATAAGTGCATTTTAGTACAACACACTCGATGACACTTCTTTATAGATGTTCTAAACAGACTATGAAACATTCCCAGATATAAGAACTATTAAAAGTACCTGACCACCTTACAACTCCTTAATTTTTTAAGATCATCTTAAATCTTTCAATTGTGAAAAATTGATCATAGCTTCAATTGATTTTAGTCAATCTAATAATTCTTGAATATTTCAGAAATCATCATAATCAGACTACACCAAATAAATTCTACCATTTCTGAGGTTTATTAAATCGCTCTAGGGATTATGGACATCCTTTTACTGCTTTTAGGCCTAATAAAACAGAGAAAAAAAGCCTCCTTTTTCTCAAACTATCCATAAGTTGCGGCTGTTCCAGAATAAAATGTAGGGGACAGGTGGAAGGCACTTCATAGTGATTTACTATAAGGAATGGTAGGCAGATCTGACTTAAACCCAACCACCCACAATGTATTAATACACAAGAAATTATGGAACAACCTTTATTAATTTGCTAAAACAATCCTTTAATAATTATAATTTGTTTGTCGTATTATTATAATTTAAGATTTATCTCAAGTATTGAGAATCAGACATTCTTAAATTGATAACACAATTTAACAATGCATTTCAATTATCAATAAAAATATTTGAAAAGTTCAGTTTTCGTTTATTTGCCAATGATTTGTCCCAATTTGAATCCAGGGCCTGTATTCATGAAACAGTTCTCATGCTCAAGCATGGATTCTGTGCTTTCTCGTAACTCACTTCAATCATGCCAAATAATCGAAAAGTCAAATTCAAACATTGAAAACAGTATTTGGCTTTAAGTCTCTTCAAATCTTTTTTTCAAATCATTGACAAAATAACGGCTTTTTAGTAATTTATAAGTGGAAATTACGCTTGAGCAAAAAATCCATACTTGAGCATGAGAACGGTTTCATGAATACATATATATGAACATATATTCCAAAATACCTGAATAAATTATCAATTCTCGCCTTCTCCTAAAGGGTATCATTACACCATTAATACCAGAAGAACAGTAATGTTGCCATTCGTGTCCAAATATATACCAATATTGTACACAAATTGAGACAGAACATATACCTGAAGATGCCTTTAGCGCCTGAGTAAACAGTATCAACATGATGCGTTTCAGGTAACATGGTGACAATCTTCTTGGATCCAGCTGCCACTTCTGCTGGACAACTAGCCACATCAGCACCTGCCAGAAAATTATACAGGATATTTTGACTGCACTACTTTACCTTTAAGCCTTTCACAGGGGCCTATAGGTCTTGTGACTTTTGAAAAACATCACCAATAAAAAGCATTTTTTTAGGAAAATAAAGTGAATATTGTATTGATTTTGAAGTTACTAGGGGAAAGGGCCTTATTCCGTCTTTGCGTATTGCAGAGTTATCTTCTCTTGTGAGCAGGTATTGATTGTTACGCCATTCATTGGCTTGTGTGAGAAAATTACGTTGTTTTCTCAAAAATTCATGACATTACTCTCACAAACAAATGATGTAACAATCAATACCTGTTCACAAGAGCAGATAACTCTGCAATACACAAAGACGGAATAGTTGTCCCAAATTCACTTTGAAAAAATCTAACAAGTGCCATACCCAGAATAAAATATAGGATGGAAGGAGTTTTGACTACATCCCCTTACCTATACCAAACAAGAGTACAGCAGGGCGGAACAATATACGCCTGTCGAATGTCATATAGTGTTATGTACATTGAAATAAGATCTGCATCATTCTAAGATTGGTTAACTGACATGCTATAAAAAATGTCAAAGAAAATCACATAATGAAATGAACAAAGGGCTATAACTTCTGCAAAAATTGTCGAATCAAAATTCTATTAAGGGAGACACAACTTCATTTCATGATTATAACGTATTCAAAGGATTCAGTCAAAAAATGTAGGAGGAGATTGCCGGACAAACAAAAGTTTACGCCGGACAAATAACTGGTAACAGGTCATGTTCCCCTCACCCATCCTACTACTGAACCAGTAATAGGTCATGGCGGGAACTATTCAGTTTATCCGTTACCTGCTGCACGAAGTCCGTCTGTGGCAGTCTGAAACACGTCACACACCAACAGCTTGTGGCCTTTGCTGATCAGATTCTTGGCCATGTGGTTCCCCATGTTTCCCAGTCCTATAAATCCTACTGTGTCATTCTGTAAGAAGAACGGATACAATACCACTGAACTGAAAAAAAATATTGTTAGTTATCCTTTTACGTGATCACATGACAATTATGTACAATAAAGTATATACCAGGTATGTAATATGTGGGGTATCTTGCTTTTTTTGTGGGGGGGTTAACACGTGCATCCATACAACATTTAAGGTCTTATGAAGTCACTGCAGGGTGCCCAAGAATATGTAGATGGGAGATCCCGACTTTTCCAATAGAGGCAACAGATCAATTTTAGTATCTCCAACTGCAATCCCATTAATTGCCTCTTACCATAGCATGCAGCGAGATATAGCCAGTGATTTATTTTAGTTAACTTGGGGCCTTATAAAAGCCTACTCATAGATATTTTTTGCCCAAAAAATCAATACAAAAAAAACATTTTATTTTCTCAAAATTATGCTTTTTGTGTGTGATATTTTTTCCAAAGTCACTAATGGCTAAAGATTTGATTAACAAATACTTTGTACACTGAGTATCTATCCTTAAGGAACTCACCATACATCTGGTACTGACTTTTATCAAGCAAGGGTCCAGGGGGAAACACATGAAATGAAAAGAAAAAAATAATATCATAGTAACTGCGAGATAGTATCAATGTAGCTGAACTGGACTGGTTCAATCGTCGACGACCAGATAGCTCTATTGGTAGAGCGTCCGTCTACAGTTTGGTAGGTCCCAGGTTCCAACCCCGGTCTGGCCGTGCATTTCTCCTCTCCTGTTACATCAATATTGTAAATATTGTTATACTAGCTAGAAATGACAGTATCCTTTATCTTCACATGGCAAATTAAATCTCAAATGTGTTTTATCAGTTTATGACAACATAACTGACATCGATATATCACCATTACAAAATTATGATGAATATACATGTTAAGTTGTGATGTCTCATGCAATGTTACATAAGGATTTGGGATTTGTCAATGTTGTAGATCATCCCAAAGTTTAAGTATCTATTGCTGACCTAAAGAAGCAATGTGAGTTTGTCACAGGGGTCAACACTAACACTAGTCTGCTAGTCCTGGACTAGTAGATTTCAGCAAGGACTAGTGAATCACCTAACCTGGTCCTTTGATCATAAAATAAGAATATTACTTTCTAAAATTTAGAAAACTGCTTGAAATAAAATAAATTGCATGATAATCGGCAAAATTTACCTAAAACTTCCCCATAATTGTATGGCAGTAGGTATTGTAAGTCCTCTACAATCGATTACTTTTGATGTTTTGTGCTGTAGATCAAGATGTTTCCTTATCAGGAAATCTTGGACTAGTAATACAATTTATTCAACTAGTCCTGTGGACTACCAAACAAAAAAAGTTAGAGTCTATCCCTATATAATCATGAGACTGCAGCTTATTTACAGTTTGTTACATATAACTTATCAACAGGTTGGATGAATGTCATGACTGAATGTCCTCACTTACGCAAGCACAAAATCTAAATGATTTAACTTGACTTAATTTTTGTGTACTAATTAATGTGTAGATATATATTATTGTATCAAATATGTGAACATATTTCCAAATGGAACCCTATATGACTTTAATCATTTGTGTTTCTGCACAGGAGTTTGATATTGTATCAAAACTATACTTTAGATGGGTATTAGAGTATTTGTGGATTGTTGGATGCAGTTTCCGACAGGTTTGTGTCAACCGGATAGATGGGTTATTAATGTTTATAAATGTGTGATAATAAAAGCAAAATAATTTCTGCAGCAATATTTCTAAATGTGGTGACATTTTTTTGCTCAGCGATGCATTTCCTGATGTTTTTCTATAGTACATTGTGTATTTTCAATCTAGACTATAAGTTCTTTACTGATATACAGCCAAACCCGTGTGGTTTAATTTCTGTAAAGCGAGGCAGTCAAGTCGTCCCTCCTATGAGAGATCCAAACCTTATAAGATTGTCAGTCTGTTGCATATTTTATAGCGATAAAGTCGAACATAAATTGACAACAAGTTAAACTTTAATACAGGGGGCAAGGGCTATATCTTTGCTATAAAACCTGTAGCTGTGGGCCAGGTAGGTACCCTATACATGCATGCCTCACGTACATGTAGACAAACAGCAGTACAGTACTAGTAACAGTAGCTCAGAGTCACCAACGTAAGAAACCGGCATTTTTTAACCATGCATTCCATTTAAATCTAAACAATGGGTACATATGCGCACAATCACCTGAAAAACCTCGTCTCGCCATCACAACATTCTGTTGTGACAAAATCTTTGCAGCTTTTGCTGTAAAGCTTCTGAGAGGACGTCCACACTGCATTTTCTGTGTTGTCTTTTTCAAGGTCAAGGTAGGCGGCCACGCAGTCGCATATAACAACTTCCGGTAACGTTTGATCGGCGGGAAAAGGTGTACATTACAAAGTCAATGTGCTTTGAACCATAGACCTAAAATATTTTTCATTATTGGATTTGATACTTGACAATTCATGTGGCTGGTACACCGTTTAGTCAAGTTAATAAGTACCATTACGGACTTAGATAATCTCATTCCGTGGTACCATTAATTAGTTTAAACATATGTTAATGTCAAGCAAATATATCGGACACAAAGTATTTAAAACTTAAGTTGATATAGTTAATCAAGTTATATTTAGTAATGAGTTAGTAATATCACGGACTTAGATCTAATTCCGTGGTAACATAATAAGAGGTATAATGTAGGCCGTCGGATACAAATTGACACGTTTATCAATTTTGATTTAAAACAGATTCAATTTACTTATAAAATAAGAATGTTGCATCCTACAAACGAAAAGTGATCTATTTTGGGTACCGATCCATTTCTTAATAGGCTAATATTTAATCGCAACATTTCATAATCGCGTGCAAAGGTATCATATAGGAACGTCAGGTGACATAACTAATAACTTGAATTACGAAAGCGCTCTGATGTAATCTGGGGCATTTCAAATGCTTAGTAAGATAGAAATTTGGCTTGATAATAACATTTAGGCATTTAAAATAAGCATTCATATTCAATAGCATTATAGTGGATTAAAATTACAGCAAATCACAGTAAATTTGATAAAAAACATTAAAAAGAGAGCCGATTATTTTCTGTATCACTCAGCGTAATTTGTGATTTTTCATTAAAAAGAATAAAGAATCAGTTAAAAAAACTCAGAAACCTCAGAATTTTGAAACGCATTTCCCTGCAGTAATATTTCTTATTAAATACCGATTTTGGGTAAAGAGTAAAAGAAAGTAAATAAACTCTTGTTTATTCAAGAATTGCAAACAAATGTACCTAATGCGCTAACGCGTTATTCGATTTGTTTGCAAAAACCTGTTTAGAATAATGGGACTATAACTCTGAACAAAACGGCATTACATATTTATAGTTATGTTTTCCATTGATTTTGACAACAAATTGATATTAAGATTTAAAATTATTTTAATTTATGTTTGATTTTCAATAATGGAACAGCCAAAATCTAGTTTCGGCGGACAGACCAGGCTTCTAAAGAGCCCCCGATTTTGTCATGGCATATTCTAAGGGTGCATGGAGGACATGCATTCTCTAGGGCGGAACCCTTGGATTTCGGAGGTGCCATTAACCACTAATTACTAAGCTTACTTCTAGATTACACAGATTTTAAGGTATTTGATTTTCAGCCTGTCTGGTCATGCGCATACCGACTTCTAGGATTATTGGGAGGAGGTATCTTGAAGTTTTGTCTGGATTTTTACAATTTGTAGACGTTTTATACGAGGAAAGTTAATATGTATTGAGTTATTTTATGATATTACTTTATTTAACAGGATCAAAGCTCCTAATATCTTTAAAAAAATAACCAGATTTTCTGTAGCCTTTAGATATTTTATCATATGAATGACTAACGATGTCAATCTTCAACTTTAAAAGGAATGACGTTGTTACTACTATTCTCACCGGGCGGAACTAGACTAAGATTTGTTTCGGATGCTTTCAAAAAGATAGTTTCAAACTCTTCGATTTTGTCATGGCATATTCCAGGGGTACAGCATTCTCGAAAGATAAGGGTTCGATTTAGATACTACATGTATCCTCTCTGCTCGTGCTGAGTTATTTAATTTGTTTCCAGGCACAAAACTCAATCTCAAGGCTGATACCTGTCGTTTGGGTATTACAGAGGAGCGACATCGAACTTCAAAGCCGGTCAATTTTACCGTTACGTAGCCGCAATATTTTTGAAAGAGTAACTAGGTAACTGTGTCACCCACAAGGTGTCGCGGAGAAAGCCTTCGGTTTTGTCATAGAATAAACATTTTTTTATAATATCGTATTCTTAACATCACACCCATACTTCCGTTCACGTGTTGTTGTTGTTTGTAACAATCGCTGATCATTACTTGTTTTACTTTGATGATCGCCAATCATGCACGTCGCCTCCGATGTTTCACCGTCAGTTGGTTTACCTGTTCGTGTGGTTGTCTAACGCCTTACTCTGCGTTCAAACAAACACGTACGATCACAGGTGTAGCAGGACGACATATAATTTATTTATGACCTTCTCGCATTTTTTTGCTCCACCCATCACGTTTATTGTTTCGGGATTTCTGACTTAATTGTACATTCTCGCATCACGTGAGAAAATGACTTCAGGTATCTCTATATTCTGTCACGGTCGTAGTCGTATAGTAAAGGACAATGAACCAACGGTAATTACTTAATATGCCTCGTGACATATCCAATAATGTACATTGATTCCATTTTATCGGAAATTATAAATCATTTAAAGGTAAAATGACTCATAAAAAATCCCGAAGATATCAATGGTACATGTATAAGAATATATATATCGAAGACTAAACGCTAATAGCGCCGGTAAATACTAATTGATACTATTAAAAATTATTACTGATTTTTTTAAGTAATCTTAATGATGCATTGTGTGATACTTTTATTGTCTTATCTCATTTATTATATGTTCTAATTCTATTCTATATTTTTACTGCATCTTATTTGTATTTTAATTCCATATTTTCTAAAATATTAATTTTTACAAAACTTGATCAATTTTATTAATTGATTTCGGTTTCATTTTTAGTTCACACTATAATAGTGTATTTTCTGTCAATTTTTATTCTTTGCTATATTAGCATTGTATGTATATTCCACTTCATAGTGTTTTAATCCTAAGTCCTAAGTAATTCTTGTGTGATATACAAGTATTCATTCACTATTAACTATGTCTTATGTATACTTTCTTTTTCTTTGACTTATCCGTGATTACATTTAATGCTTTTCATAGATTAACACCATTTTTATATATATATCCCGGGGGCCTTTGAAGGTAGGGGACTCCCAATCACTTAGAAACCTGGGATATGTATACTTTCTTTTTCTTTGATGATTATTACTGTTTTATTATTAATATATGTGATTATCTCCCTTTACTTGTAATATAATATGTTATTGTTATTTTTACATATGTTTGTCGCAATAATAGCTCTCAAGAGCTAATGTTCCTTGTTTACCTGTATGCGACGTTAAATAAAGTTTCTTGTATCTTGTATGCAATGATAAACTGTATAGACACATGTACCTATGTTTTTTCATACTCATAATGTGAAGAAAGCATATTCAATGATATACAGCGTAACTGAATTTTAACTCTAATAATCTAATTACATTTTTACGTAATTTACTGAATTTATATCTTCCCTAGCTATATTTATATATTGACGTCAATATGTCAGCGGGGTCATTCGGTTTAAATTTTCGGGAAACAAATTAAATCATACGAAATGATGTCGAGTCCTATTTTGCAGAATATAACATGCATAAAGAATCAGGTAACGATTGAAATGAAAGTTATGTTACACATATGTCTTCATATGACGTCACGGTACTCGATTTTTGCGCGTACTTAATCCCCTAATCAATACAACACTTAACATACTCGTGGATGAATGTCATACACAAAGAAAGTCTTGCTATCGATACAGACGTGTGTTAATTCCATTTCTTTCTGTCCATTATATTTTCTGCGCATCTTCATGTTTCATAAAAAACATTCTTATTATTACTGAACGATTGGATATTTACATCTTAACGAATTTGTTCATGTCCCCTCACTAACCTGCCACAGGTTTCCAACTGGAGATGCTTCGACCTTCGACGGCAAACTTTCCAACTCTGAAACTTCAGTGTCTACCATAATAAAAAAAAAATATTCGATGCTGCTTTGATAATTGGTGCTCGACGTGGTTTCCAGGTTTTGACAAGAGACATCGTGGCGGGTTCAACATTCGGCTCATAGAACGCTGTCCCCTCTGAAACAACCTCCGGGTGTTCGTGAGATTCATGTTTTATTTCATTTTGCTTTGTATCTCATCATCTCCCGATTTTATATTCGAGTTTAAAAACGACAGCAGTTATATATCACAAAAGAAAACAACAGAATTACCAAAACATTCGCATTTTCCGTAATAAATATGTTCCTAGTGATATTGATCATCATACCAACAATTTATTCACCGGAATTTATAAAAAAACACATAGGTACATGTAACAATTGATGTTTATTTGGCGATAATGGTCTGAAGGTGTATTAATCCACACAATGTTTTGCATTTCCCATGTCGATGTTTTACTTACAAACGGTATCAAAATGGTAAAACATTGCGGAAAACATTTTTTCTTCAAATATATGTAACATTTAAGAAATATAAATGCATAAAATCTCAAATACAAAACCATTTATTGTAGAAATTGCTATTGTTTTTATATATAATTATATGTGAAGGTAAACAAAGCCTTTTTTTTCAATTAGCCCAAACAATCCGTGCAGTAGAAATACATATTGTAAAAGCTTTCTTGTGTTCTCGTAGACGATCACTCGATACAGAAAATTACAAATGGAATCTTAGCATTAGAGACTGAAAGACTGCAAATACTTGTAAATGTGTAAAATGTCTTTATTAAGTTATACAACTAGCTACGAAGTCGTAAATCTTTGTAACCAACTTATTCAATTAGTCTTTTTCGGCATAGCTGACAGAGAAGGTTTCCTGGCTGGCGAGGTATGTTGTCTCTGTGCCGAGAGGTGTGCGCTGTCGTTATTGAATTGCTCCCCGCTGATAAATTAAGACTTCAGAAACGTTCACAGGTCCATGTGATAATTGTATCTCATTTTTCTCTCTCTCTGTCCAGAGTTCGTAGCCGCCGGGATGGGAATCCAGCATCACATAAATTTATAGCAAGATTAAGATACAGAAATAATGAATCAAAGTTTGCCGTTAATTTGCAATGTCTTAAAAGAAAATAAAACGCATATAATGTCTGCTTACTTCTACTATCAGGCAT